TTTTTTTACTCAAAAACCTGATTCTTTCTCTCATCGGCTGAATGCGCCTGAAGTCCTGCGGCTCTGAAATCAGAGGCTCTTCTCCGTCTCCAGCTGACGTTTCCTGGCTTCTTCTCTATATTTCAGTTCAAAATGGAGGTTCCCTACAAACAGAAAACCGTGATCTCGTATCTGCAGCCGGGCGTGGAATACTGCGTCTTCGCCTCCTTCAGGTCCTTCGTCAACCGCAGCAGCATCTCCAGTGAGCTCCACTGCGCCTTCACCAGTCCTCCTCCACCCAAACATATGTGTAAGCCCCCTGATTTCCCCCTCATCAGTGTTAGACTGCAGCTCTGCACTGCCTCTGTGTTAGATGTCTGGTTTGTGCAGCCTGGGAAGGCTGCCTTCAGGAGCGCGTCCGAGGAATCTGACTTGCCTTGTGCTTCACCCTCAGTGTCGCTGGTCCTCGGCCTGTTTGGGGGTTTTACTCTAGTGGTGGTCCTCGTCGTGGCTCGGGTATTCTTCAGGAGCAAGGTGAGCTTGGAATTACTGAGGCGACACCTAAGCAGGTCAGTTCACACAAAGAAAACCTTGTTGGAAATCTAAAAATGGGTGTTTTTATTTAAAATAAGAACAACTCATGTGGCAGGAAGAGAATCAGCAGCTGGTGAAATGATTAAAACACCAGCCTAATCAATCCTGCCATTAATTCCATAAATAGATAATGGCATCTTCCTATATTAACCATTTCAGCCTGATTGTAATCAGACCGAATAACAAATAGAGCCAAACAGGTGGAATGTAAACCGTTTACAGTCTAACTAGAGCGTCACAGTTAAATGTTTTGAACTAATTTCACTGTTGGATTCAGCCAATCAGAGAAATGTAAATATCAGTTTATTCATCACTTCAGGGGAAATAGCGACCAAAGCAGTCAGGAAAAGGGAACTGCTGGTCGTGCCGCCCGAAGCAACAACAGCTCATATCAAGAGTTTGTTTTGACTGGAAATAACATAATAGGATCTCCAGCGAGGGATTTATTTCCCCTCTGCTTTGCAGAAATGTTTTGATTCGGCCTCATTGGAGGGTTCTCCAGTAATGGGGGGCTTAGTCATATACCAATACAGAAAAGACAAGAAACCAATGGATCTAATAAAATAAGGCTATATGCACTAACTGTCCATCCTAATAGTGATTTTGGTGTGAAGAACAAAACACCCCATGCAATAATCCTGCATAATAATCCTACTATTAAAAAAATGTGGACACAGTGTATATACTGTATATATCCCATGCATGGTTTTCTTTCTTTGGCACCTTCTTCTTCTCCTTTGACTATTTTGAGCTGATGTAACAAGGTTAGGTTTCCACTGTGGGATCAATAAAGTCAAACAGTCAATAAACTGACGTGGCGCCTCCTGCTGGCCGTACCAATGACTCCAACTGAGTAAAGCCACAGCTGAGACTAGTATCAGGGTGTTGATGAAAGCTCTGTGTTTCCACCTTGCAGCTTTCTCTCTCTCTGGTTCTTTACCCGTAAAGAGATCACTCTGGACAAACTCATTAGATAACACTTCATAATGTTTTAGATGTATTAGATAACCAGGAGACATGACAACAGATTTATACATAAATTGTAATCTTAATCAGATCAGAGAAGTTGCTTAGACTTACAGAAGGTAGTTGCTTTCCAACCGGGCTCATTTCTCGGGACGTGGGCCTGATTCAAAGCTAAAGAAGGATTTTATACAGCTCCAGTCTGCCACATCATTACATCAT